GGTGTGGGTGGGGGTGGGGTGGGAAGGTTTGTGCCTGTTAAATATCAAATATTTATGAACCACTTGACCCAATTACGACGCGACACAAAAGAATACCCATGAATTTCGAGTAAAGTCCGGCAAATTGCACGGTTGAAACATTTATGCTCGCTTGTGTCGCACACATTCTGCAAACGCATGTACCCTATACCTTTAACTCAACACATCAACTAAAATAGATAGGAATTAGAGCGAGAAAAAAAAACCCCCAAAAAAAAAAAGAAATAAAAAAAAAAAGAAAAAAATAGAAAGAGTAAAAAAAAAGGATTACAAAAGAGAAACGAGAATAGTATAATTACCGGGAAACTTTTTCATCGTGCTACGAACGATTAGGTGATATGGGGGGTTGGAAAGGATTTTAAAAGAATTGAAGTTTATCAGAACGTTCCCACTGATCGTTAAGGGGGAATTAAAATGAACTTTAATCAGGTTTTTATATACAATAGGATTTTTAATTGTAGTAATGTTTTTTTACTACAATAGGTTTTTATATACAATAGGATTTTTAATTGTAGTAATGTTTCTTTTTTTTCTGCTTCCATTTTTTTGATCATAATATTTTATTCATATTCATGTGGAATAGGCATTTGATTAAAATTTATATATTGTACAAAATTTGAAATGTTGTTTTAATTTTTAATTAAGATTCATTCGAAATTTTATTTTAATTGATATTGTGTGTTATATTATAATCAGGTTAACATTTGATGAAACGAGTTGATATATAATTAAATATTAAATTAAGTTTTGATTGTTAACAAAATTTACGAAAATGCAGTACACTATGATATGGTAATAAATTAATTAATGATTAAAATGATTAGTATATTTTTGTAAAATGTGGTTAAATTGGGGAAAAAAAATGTATTACTAATTAAAATACCGTGTAATAAAATGTAATATGAGTGTTGTTTTTATTAATTTTCTAGAAAAGATGTACTCCATCACGATACTAATTGAAAACAAATTCTAGCAAATATTTATTTTATTTAAACGAAAATTTTATTATTTTTTAAATATATTATTCGATCAAATATAAAAATATTTGTGAAAACCATGTCCCATTAAAAATTGAATTACCTATAAATTTATTATATTCAATTTAT